CATAGACACTCATATACATGAAATCAATAAGATAAATATTTCATCTTGAGCATTTTTGCTTTCAATAAGTAAATTATAAAGAAATTTTAATGAAAATATGTATAAGATCTTTAAAATTGTTTATAAAAATAATATATTAAGTATGTTTATTAATAAAATATATGTATATAATTCATCGGTTCGGTTCGGTTATTTCTTCAATTTTTTTCGAATAAAATCATAACCAAATCAAATACTATCGGTTTTCAAAAATCTAAAACCAAACCAAACCAAACCCAAATAAAATCGGTTTTATTTTATCGGTTTGGTTTGGTTTTTCGATTTGGATCGATTTTTATCCAAACCGTGAACACCCCTAATCACTGGTACACCATCAATATTAATTGTGCAAAAATTTGTGACAGTCTTGCAGATTGATAAACTAAGGCCTTTGCAAGAAAAAGAGTCTGAAGCACATCGAGGGGGATGAAATTGAAGTTAAAATTTTTTTTGAGTCGTATTTGAGGAAACCCAACCTGGGGACTAGAGATCCTATAACCAGGTTCAATGGGAAGAATGAATCATATGATGACTTGTTGTGAAATGCACTATTGTTAAGTTTATTCAATCCTTATGATGTGAATGCATTTATCCTATAATTATTGTGGAGGTTGAGTCTTTGAACTCTTAATGAAAGTCTGTATCTCGTATGAGTGGGGTGTTAAATTAAAGGAGCACCCTCGACAGATTTCACCTATGTGAGTGTGAAAGTAGGTCGTTTTCTATGAGAATGAGCTTGTTCTCAAAAACACTCATGAAACCGGGAGAGCACAGGGTCGTAATGTGCTGGCTATTAAAGCTTATGTTAACACCTTGACTATTGTGTGTAAGCAATGATACTTTATTTCCCTTAAGCAGTCATAGTTCTAGTCTGAGACTACTACTGACTTTGGAGTAAAGGTTATTATTTTACTAAGCGAAGGTTCAATCCAGAGCACGCCTTCATTTTGCATAATAGTCTACCTTCAACTGAGTTGTGAAGAACTCTCTTATCTTAATATTAAAATGAGTAGGGGATCTTGTCCCCTCCAGGATACAACAGCCCAACAACAGTGTACAACTCAAACAACTCTGGACAAGACCCACAAGCTGTACTTGCAACTGGATGGATGTATGTTAGTTAATAAACAGGGTCAAATGTGTGGTCCTTACATTAATGGTTTTGTCCTCTGATGTGAGTGGACCAACGAATATGTACACCGGAGTTACAAAGATTCAGGAGGAAATTGAGTGGAGTTGCCAATAACTCCCCCCTACAGTAACTTTGGGCCTGAACATGGAACTCATTCCTTGAACCAGCAGATGGCGACTGCTGGCTTTGCCGGAACACTTGCTCCGTCTACGTATTTGGTACTTCCTCTTCTATAATTAAGGATTTGTATTGTTCTTGGTAATATTCTTTTAGTTACTTGTTTCTTCAAGCTGTCATGTGCAACTTTATCTCTCCTTAGACTAAAAATATAATTTCTCTATTCACAATTGTAACCAATGTAACTATAAACTATGGAATCTGGGTTAGACAAACTGACTTTTACTATTTTCATGAAGGACAAATAGACCTTCTTTGCATTTTCTGCAATTTTGATTCCCTACTTATGACATTCTTTGCTTAATATTGTGGGTGAAATATGTTAACGAAGAATCCTGTTGGCTCTTTGAAGATCATGAACGGAGGAAACTTGGGCCGCACTCTCTTGTGGAGCGTTATTCATTACAAATGGTCTGGTGTAATTATTTCACATATGATTTGTTATTTCATTTGCAATATAATATATATATTCTAATTTAAATTGAAGAGCATTCCAATTTTTTAGCGATATGAAGAGTACTAAAAGTCAGAATTAATGTTTATATATACTTTATAGGAGTATCCAAATTTAAGTTGGATAACACAACTACAAAAAGTAGAAGAGCATTCTAATTGGAATGCTAAAATTACATTTTTTTTTATGCGTATGTAATAGATGTCGAACCACATTTTGTTAAATCATCGATACAAATGGTCTAGGTATAAGTCATAATTCAAAATATCAAATCTTATCCTCTGCTTCGATGAACTACTCTTGCAGAAAATTAAGATAACACAATAATCTAAAGAAGAAAAAGTCTTTTTTTCAATCTTTTTCTTTAATGACGAGGTAAAGGCTAGTGACCATGGTGAAAATATTTTAGAACTTTGAAGTAAGCGAATACGATAAATTTATCGAAAGAACAATTCATAACATGAATATCATGTAGGGAAAATAATGAAAATATTTCACAATAATAATAATAAATAACTTTATTATTTAGCAAAATAATAGTCCTGAAAATTACTAGGATGATATATAATAATAGTGCATAAAATTAATACTTGAGTAGTGCTGGGCACTGTCCTAAGAAGGTGATGTTTCCCTAGGATTTTTGCTTACATATCAATTTGCAGACCAAGATATATACATTTTATATCGAAAATATAATGTTAGAATTGTATGACAAAAGAACTATCAAGGATCAATCTCTCCTGTCCAATGCTATGTGAAGAGGAAGGCCATCACTTCCTTTTATCAAACATGAACAAATCAATCGGAAAGAGGTGAACAACGCAACTACTCGACAGAGCCATTACTTTAGAAATATAAAGTTACTGGTGTAAAGTTTTTGGAGTGAACATTCACGTTCAATTCTGAAACTCATCTCCTTGCTACCTTTATTTAGGCTAAATAGCATATACAATTTGTCCCTTTGAAGCTTATAAGTTGCCAAATTTAACATTTGACTTTAAGTTAGCTTCTTCAAAAATTGCATTTCAAGGTTGAGATTTGAGAAGAAGAAAACTACTTTCCTCCAAATGATATAAAGTACTGCAGATCAGTGAAAGCAGCCAAATTAGAATTGTGTATATGTAAAGTGCACAACAACGCGTCGTGTTAATATGGACATGAACATAAATTTGACACAGTAAGAGATGTAGACTAGATGAAATCTTCATGACATACCAGAACCAATATCATAAAACTTGTATTAACAGAGGAGTTTTCTCTATGAAGAGCATTAAAAAAACAATAAATCTCATTAGTAGAGGCAAAATTGTCAAGTTTTACTCTCAATACACATCTCCTTGTACTATATGTCTATGCACTCCATAAACATTACAGTATTGGTTCCCACATAGGTAACAAATTACGTTGAAAGAAGAAGAAATCATAAGCCCATACAATCAGGATCTAATATGTTTTTCTTTTTTCTTCGATTCTTAAATTTGAAGGCTTTGTAAAGATTGCAGAATGTGTTGCTTTTGAAATTGAATAATCTGCATCTCCTCATCATTATTATTATTGGCTTTTGGTTCCTTCATCTTGATCATCATCGTTAATAACACATTTTTTCTCTCAACTTTGTTTTGGGGCAGATATTTAGATGCGAGATAATATTCCCTTATCTGCCATTCACTCTTTCTCAATCTCGATGATGACTTGTCTCTACCATCATCGACATTGTAGTAGTAGTACCACGATATTCTCATGTTTCCAATGTGTCGCGTCTTCGCATCAAAAATTGACTTGCGTTTGGGTGTAGGTTTCCAAAACCCCTGGGCATATTTACTAGCAAATAGTTTACACTTTTCCCTATTCTGTATAGTGATCAAAAATCGTGTCTTCTTCTTTGTACATTCGAGAATTTGGGATGAGCATTAAACACATGAAAGTGGAGTACTGTATGAACTTGCAAAGATGAGTAATATAATTAAGCCAACTACATAGTATTGTGATAGCTGTAGAATTTCTCGTTATTATATATCCAGAAAAGCTTTACACTAAAGCAGATGCGAGGCAAAATTCATGGTAATCCAGATATGACTAAATATCAGGAATACGAAAACACTAGGACCAACAAAAGAAGCCCTTCAATATCAGGAAGCACCTTGGAAACCAACAACATTTTGTCAATGTTTTCAAGCATTGGCGACCATCCCTTCATGGAAATCAGTTGGTAAGCTTCCTTCTCCGTCAGTTCCTTCAGAATCTGCTTTTAGTTCGGATTTGGGTGACCAACCATACATCTTCCTTCTGGCTTCCCTACGGGCTGCTCTTTCTTCCAACTTCACTTCCTTAAATTGTTCTTCAAGTTTTGTTTCTTCTTCGGGTGTAAAGAAAACTACCTCCATTTTCCCGAGCTCCTCGTACAACTTCTCAATCTTAGCTTTCCAGAACAGGCCTAATTCAGTGTCCATCTCATGGTAAGGTGTCTTCAGCAGGTACTCATCAATACCACCTGCCTTGTCAATACATCGCAGTGCATGAGTTGTAACCTTCACACGAATTTGACGATCTAGGATATAGCTGAAAAGCCGTTTCTCTTGCACATTAGGCTTCCAAGTCCTCTTAGACCTGTTCATATAAACAATCACAATTTTTTTTTTTTGGGGAAGTAAAGAATGGCAGTTTATTATGATTCACCACATATGATCAGAACTACACTGCAGTTAAAAATGACCTTACCTTTTCTATCGTTGGGAACCAAAGAGTAGCTAGAAACAACTACAATCCAAAGGCAGCAGACTACACATACCAGCATTTGCAAGCCAACTAAAAGTTTCAAGCAACTACAGGCAATTACATCTGAATTAAGTGAGGAGGGATAGGTAGAAGAAAAGCACTTAATGATAATTGATATCTCAAACTCAGCAAAGCCTTCTGCCCTACAAGCATCAAAGACGAATATTTCCGTGAATCTGATTTCTATTGGGAAAGATCTTATTGCCTCTAGAAACAAATTTGGTGCAGGAAGAAAAGATAACTATTCTGAAGCTCTGGAGAAAAAGGATGGCAGGCAAGCACTAGCTGATCTTACAAACTCAAGCAAATAGCCGTTTGTTGCAGAAGAGCAATTTCTCCATAATCATCAGAATTGCATCAAAGCACAGAGAAAGGCCATGAACATGAGTTGTTTTCTGAAGGAAGTTGGATTAGATCATGATGATGTCCCCGTGCAAATTGGAGAATCTCCACATGCACTTAAACCATCAATGAAGTCGAAGTCATCAGCATATCATCCAGAAAGCCCAACGCATTATGTCGAAGTGGAAGAGATGCCAGAACTGATTTTTTATGATCAGATTCATAGATATGAGGAAAATCGGGCTTGTGTATCTTTTTCCCCTTGTGATGCATCTCCTAAATCAGCAAAGCCACCATAAATCATCTGGACAGACGACGGTATTCTAGATTTTGCATTGATTGGAACGCCTATCCAACCAAAGCATTGATGGACACTTCTTTTAGCTAAAGGATCACTCGCAGCCCTTAGAATATTGTTAAATATATCTGCTGTAGTCATCGGTTAGTCAGCTGTTTGATTGTTCATGTGTTTAGTTCTTCCTTGCTTCACATTTTATCACTTAGCTCTAATGCTTTTGTATTTTTTTTTAAAAACTCTAACATCTGAAGGAGGACATTTCCATATGAAACAGAAAAGTCTTTGGTTAAGTAGAAACAAAGAAAAATAAAGCTTTGGAGCTGCTGATTCTAGAGCAAACAACTATAACTACAAAATTAGATTGAGAAAATTAACATGATGAACTTGAAAACTGAACTCCAACAGCTGGCAAAGGTAGAGGAGGTTTCTTGGAGACAAAAAGTCAGATGTTTGTGGTTTAAGGAAGGAGATAGAAACGCTACTTTTTCCAAAGGGTTGCCAAGTCCCACAGGAGATATAACTGCATTGAAAGATTAAAGGTTGCAGACACAGTTATTGAGGATAAACAACATATCAAAGAATACTGGCCTTCTATCAGAACTTATACTCCGAGGATGAAAATTGGAGGCCTACAAAAAAATTTAAAGGCCTGGGATGTTTATCAATTGAAAAAGGGAGGTCTGGAAGTTGCTTTCACTAAGGAGGAAGTGAGAGATGCCATCAACTCATGTGCTCCTGACAGAAGACCAGGTATTGATGGATTCACAATGGCCTTCCACCAGAAAGCATTGGACACTATTAAGCATGCCATATTGGCTGCTCCCAATCATTTTCACCATCATGGTCGCATGGTCAAGTCCTTCATTGCATCCTTTATTCTTATTCCAAAAATAAAAGGAGCTATGGAACTTAGAAACTACAAATCCATAAGTCTTCACGCCACCAGAATGTATTCATTAAAGAAAGACACATTACTGATGCAGCCTCATAGCAAATGAGTTTATGGATTGGAAGATAAAGTACGGTGGAAATGGGCTCCTACTCAAGCTTGATGTTGAAAAAACCTGACAAAATAAGTTGGCCCTATCCTATGACTATCCCCAGGTAGTTGGGTTTTGGAGAAAAATGGATCAGGAACTACATCACCACTGTGAAATATGCTATCCTTATTAACAGAGGTCCAGTGGGACTTTCTCTCCTAGAAGAGGGATGTGGCAGGGGACCTTCTTTCTCATACCGGCCATGGAATGTCTTAGTAATGTACTTGAGAAAGCTGAACAATTATAATGATTTGAAGGATTCACAATGGGTAGCAGAAGGGGGCATTCCTATCTCCATTTCTCATCTCTTGTTTGCTGATGATACACTTATCTTCTGTGGAGCTGAGAAGTCCCAAGTCCTTTACCTGAATCTCACCCTGATGTTTTTTGAGGCAATGTCTGGCCTACATAAAAATATGCTCAAAAGTATCATCTACCTGGCGAATATAATCCCAAATCTGGTGGAACTGGCTGGCATTATGGGATGTAGTACTGGCAAAATACGAATCTTCTGAGATTTGGAATTCAGTAGTTGAGAAGTGTAGTGAATGCTAGCAACATGGAAGGAGCAGTACCTATCTTTTAGTGGCAGGCTAACCCTTATTGATAGTGTACTGGATAACATCCCTACTTATTTCATGGCATTGGATCCTATCGCGCAGCAAAATCCAGGAGCAGCTTGACAGAACAAGAAGAAACTTTCTTTGGGATGGAAACAACATCAACCACAAGATCCACCTGGTCAACTGGTCTAAAGTCGCACCCCCTAAATCACTAGGCGGCTTGGGGTAAAAGTCTTAGCCTTACATAACAAGTGTATGTTAATGAAATGCCTCAGGAGATTCAACCAGGATGACGCTGGCTTGTGGAATGAGATAAACACTGCTAAGTTGGGAGAATGAAGCACTGGTGCACCTAACCTGTGAGATCACTCCATGGCACAGGGCTCTGGAAAAACATAAACACCCTATGGGAAGCTTTCTCCAATAGCACTTATTTCTAGGTGGGAGATGGGATCAACATAAAATTTTGGACTGACAAATGGCTCAGGGACAGTACACTGAAGGAAAGCATTCCCAAATATGTTCCTTGCTGCAGGTAATCCAGACTCTCTTATTTGTCATAATAGAGAAGTCAACACTTGGAACCCCAGTCTTAGGAGGAACCTGAATAGCTTGGGAGATAGATGAGCTCATTTACATGCTGAAAACATTAGAGAGACAAACCCTAGATAAAGGGCAAACTGAAGTGGGACAACTCTAAGGAAGGTCTTTACACCGTTAAGGTAAGGTATGCTGTGTGCTAAAACAGTATGATGATTGACTTATGTCCCTGGAAACTAGTTTTGAAAACAAAAGTTCCACCGAAAGTGCTGGTTGGCTCTAAAGGGCGTTTGCCTCACCCAAGACAACCTAACTAGAAGGAACTTTCAACTAGCAAACAGATGTTTCATGTGCTAGCCAGATGCTGGATCAATTAACCACCTGCTCCTTCACTGTCCTGTGGCCACTGACAGCTAGAATCTGTTTCTAAACATTTTTTGGATTGAAATGGAAAGTGCCTTTATCCGTAAGAGATGCCTATGTGAGCAGGAGCTCAACGGAAGTTGACAAGACCATCTGAAACATGGTGCCTGTAAGAATTTTCTGGTGTACTAGGATTGAGAGGAATCACAGATGCTTTGATGGTGTATCAACTTCAACAGGATTTTTGAAGGCTAGATGTTTGGTTAGCCTCTTTAGTTGGGCTAACCGTTGCCCTGTTAATAATCTTGATGTTTTTTGGGATCTTGTCAGTTCATTAGTTTTGTAGTACTTCAACTGTATACACGCTGACAAACATTTGTTTTGTAATCCCTTTGTTTTTTTTTTTTTTGAAACTGGTAAGGTTGTATTCTTTCAGCATTAAGGGCATGCTGGCCACCACCAAAAAGTGTCAATTACAAACTTCCTATCAAATCTACAATCTGGTCTGTATCTACTATACACAACTGTTTACACCAAAAAAGTAGAGATACTATACAATTCCATTTGACCTTGTGTATGGAATTGGATCTATTGTCGAAACATCTACTGTTCCTTTCCTTCCAAACTGACCACCATATACATGATGGTATTAACCTCCACCATCTCTTCTGGCTCTTGGTACCTCCTCTCCTTACCCAGCTCTTGAACACATTTGATGGACGTTCTGGCATTGTCCAATTCAGATTTGAGATGCTAAGGAACAAATTCCAGATTTGAGCAGTGTAATTACAGTGCAAGAAGAGGTGGCTGTTAGTTTCACTTGTCAAATTGCATAAAAAACACCTAGGGACCAGCTGTCTACCCTTCTTCTGAAGTACTTCTTGTGTTAAACAAGCTCTCTTTATCACTAGCCAAGTGAAGCATTTCACTTTTGTAGGAATATCCCCCTTCCAAAAATAGTTCCAGAAGTGTGTTGGTCTCCCTGCCATCACCTGGAGACCTCTTCTGTAAGCACTGTTGACTGAGAAAAGGCCATCTTTGCTGTGCTTCCACAACATTGTAGCCAATCTTTCTAACGCTGCTACTCTAAATATAAAGAGTCATTTTGGTGCTCCCAAGTTATGGCATACTAGTCTTCTCCATGGGACTCTATGAAAAGGTCCTGATATTTCCCTATATAGCTTCTGAATGAAATTTTTTTTGCATAGAAAGATAGTGACTTACTCAACTCTTCAACACGTTTGATGTACGTTCTGGCATTGTCCAATTCAGATTTGAGATGCTAAGGAACAAATTCCAGATTTGAGCAGTGTAATTACAGTGCAAGAAGAGGTGGCTGTTAGTTTCACTTGTCAAATTGCATAAAAAACACCTAGGGACCAGCTGTCTACCCTTCTTCTGAAGTACTTCTTGTGTTAAACAAGCTCTCTTTATCACTAGCCAAGTGAAGCATTTCACTTTTGTAGGAATATCCCCCTTCCAAAAATAGTTCCAGAAGTGTGTTGGTCTCCCTGCCATCACCTGGAGACCTCTTCTGTAAGCACTGTTGACTGAGAAAAGGCCATCTTTGCTGTGCTTCCACAACATTGTAGCCAATCTTTCTAACGCTACTACTCTAAATATAAAGAGTCATTTTGGTGCTCCCAAGTTATGGCATACTAGTCTTCTCCATGGGACTCTATGAAAAGGTCCTGATATTTCCCTATATAGCTTCTGAATGAAATTTTTTTTGCATAGAAAGATAGTGATCATAGTCGTAGCCTGCCGATCCAAAGGACTTTTTTCGTTTATATGCTAGTGATGCTTCAATAGTTCAATTAATATTAGAAAGAACAGTGAAATCTTATTAATAAATAATGTGAGTGAGACTTTCCAGATTGATGATTTATGAAATTTTTAGATTTTTCTTTAGTTGTTAACGGTTGGTACTTTTATATTAACTAATTTTGTTAAACTAATGAATTTTATGTCTTGTGGACATTCTAACACTACTTATTGTGTTTTGATAGTGTTCTGCCAATCAATGGCACCAGGTGGACGTGTCTTTAAGCAGTTTCCCAGTTTACTAAGCTATAGCCTTTTCCATCCTTCTTGCCTTGCCATAAGAATTTTCTCCTTAGCTTATCCAGATTTTCCACTACTTTTCCTGGGATTGGGAATAGAGACATCACATAAGTGGGCAGAGAATCAAGAACAGAGTTTATTAAGATCAATCGTCCTCCAAGTGAAAGATATTGAGCCTTCCATCCAGAGAGCTTCTTTTCAGTTTTCTCCAAAATACCATCCCATATTTCCAAGGCTTTGTGATTGTTACCCAAAGGCATGCCTAGATAGGTGGTAGGCAGCTTCCCAACACTACACCCTAGTATGCCTGCCATCTCTTTTATCTGAGGTACCTCATTCACAGGGAAGAGACTACTTTTTCCCCAGTTCACTTTCAATCTAGAGATTGCTTCAAAAAGTACCAATATCAGTCTAATGTAGCTTATCTGTTCTTCTACAGGATCACAAAGGATGATGGTATCATCTGCGTAGAGCATATGACCAATTTCTCTTTCTTCCCCCCCTCTGCCTCCCACTTTGAAGCCTTTGATCCATCTATTTTGTGTAGCAATCCTCATCATAGCATTAAATCCCTCCATTGCTAGGATGAACAGGAAAGGGGAGAGAGGATCACCCTGTCTCAGTCCCCTTTCTGATTCAAAAAAACCCACAGGTTCTCCATTCACAAGCACAGAGAACTTGACAGTTTTGATGCATGTCTCAATCCACTTCAGCCATTTGTCCCCAAAGCCCATCTGGCTAAGGATATTTAAGAGAAAAGACCAATTTACATGGTCAAAAGCCTTTTGGATATCCAGTTTGCACATTAAGCCTGGGCTTCCTTCCTTTATTCTGGAGTCAATGCATTCACTAACTATGAGTGCAGCATCCATGATTTGTCTCCCCTTCACAAAAGCCATCTGATGTTTGTTGATCAATTTATCCAGCACTTGCTTCAGTCTTTCAGCCAACAGCCTAGCAATGAGTTTGTAGACACCCCCTACTAAGCTGATTGGTCTAAAATCCTTCAAATTGGAGGCTCCCGCTTTCTTTGGAATTAAAGCAATAAAAGTTGCATTAAAACTCTTTTCAAAAACTTGATTGGAGTGAAAAAACTGAATAGTTTTGATAATATCTTCCTTCAATAGGGTCCAAAAAGTTTGGAAAAACATCATTGGGAATCCGTCAGGGCCAGGTGCTTTCTCTTTTGCACACATGTTTAAGCTTCCCAAAATTTCCTCCTCCTCAAAGGGTCTTTGCAGCCACACCTGCTCTTCTTCAGAAATTCTTGAAACATATTTTCTTGATGCCTTTAATGATATTCTACATCATTGACAAAAAGAACTCTTTCAACATCTTTGTGGTTATCTCATGTCTATATGGAGGAGTTCTTCTGCCCTCACTGTAGAAGCTGGTAAACTATGGTTCATATGCCTGTCTTATGAGACAAAACAAAGGAAAAGGAGGGGATTGGGAAGGGTGGGCTGTTAAAATGGCTGGTTAACTTTTTATCTTGTCATACTATACCATGTTGAAACAGGTTGAGGAGTTGTATTCTTTGGATCTTGATGAGCTCAACAGTCTTAGGTAAATTAATTCTGCCACTTGAGCATTAGTTGTATGGTTGTGGGAACAATTTATTCTCAGAGGCTTCAAACTTGAGTTTCTCCAACTTTTCCAAAAAGGAAATAATAATTAATCCTCTGATTTTTTTACAGGCCTGTGTATTGCTTGATATTCCTTTTCAAATGGCGTCCTGGTGAGAAAAGATGATCGCCTTGTGATCAAGGACCCAAACCCAAACTTATTATTTGCTAGTCAGTTCAAATGCCTTTACATGATATATGTGGTTGAACTACTAGGAGTTCCCTAGCACTATGACATGTAACTTTCTTGATGATGTGAAACAAGTGATAAACAATGCCTTTGCTACCCAAGCAATCCTTTCAAATTATCCTGAATTCTCATAGTCCCGAGCAGAACAAGACATAAATCACTTTTGGCTATAAATAAATTTTCTTTGAAGTTGCTTGGACTCGGGTGCGGATCTAAAGGTCGGATCCTTCATGATCTAATTTTTAAGATTTCAGGGATATGGATACGGGTGCGGGGATTCGCCTAAAAATAATTAAAATATGAATTATAAAACCTAAAGTATGAGATATTATGTGGAGACTTGAGGAGAATCCTGGGAGATCAAAGGAAAAGGAGTGACATAGAACTTTCTATATAAAAGGTATTCCATTTCCTTCAATTTCACCTTAGCTTTTGTATTGATTACATAAATCATTAAAATTGTCCAGACTTTCCCCATCAATTTTGGTCAGAGTACCCAAAATAGGTTGACCAAATCAGACACGGATCCCACACCATGTCATGTCGACACGGGTGCGGCACCAAAAGTGAAGAGTCCGAGCAACTTAGGTTGCCACTGTATTCATGATAAGCAGTTAAAAGATGACTTCCATATTTACACTATAAAACAGAAGATACCTTCTGATAACTTCGAGCCCATTACGAGACTTCACTTTTAGAACAATATTTTACAGAATCACGCCCAACTTCCAGTTTACCACAAACTTACAGAAAAATTGTACTTTTAGATGAAAACTATTCAATCCACTATGTTTGACAGACTAGCATCAAATATAATGCCATTGACAACTATAAAACAAACAACAAATAAAATTCTTTCAATTGAGGGAATGGGAGAATGGAGATATTCCTAAACATACCTAACTAATAATAACATGTAAAGTAAATAATCGGAAGACCATCCGAGCAAGGAAATCACAGAATCTACAGAGCACAACATATCAAAATCTCACATTTAGCCTAGAAATAGAAAATTGCTTTTCAAATTGAGAAGAAGAAGAAGAAGAAACTCACGTATTTCCACCTTTCTCACTGACCCGATTGCCAAACTGAATGTGGCGGCCAGCGAAGAGGCCACGCTGAGCACGACCCATGACGACTTTTGCATTTGGTACGCATTTCTCAAGCCGTTGTTTCACTCCAGATGCCAAGTTCTTCTCTCCACCTATATTCTTCACTATCTTTTTCATCATTTCCTTGGATCTGAACGCCATTTCTTTCTCCAGAATTTTGATGGAACTTGAGGTTTAGGGTTTTAGAGCTGAAACCGGAAGTTCAAAATTAGTACTATACGTTTCTATTTTATTCCTTCACAACTATTTTCCAAATCGCTCTTGGTAAATCTTGAGTATATTTTTTATTTGCATCTAAGTATTTTATAGTAAATTGAATAGTTTTTTTATAAACTTGTTATGAAGTGGTCATATATTTTATGATTACTATTTAAGTGTACATGTTTTGTACTTGTATATCGCGTTAATTAATAATAAATATATATATAATTAAAAAAAATGTGTACGTTATATTATTAAGTACAAAAATGTTTTTAAGAAAATAACGTAAATTTTTTAAATATAGAACCAACTAGTTCCAAAACTAATGCCAACAACTAAACTGAAGTCTAGGACAAAACAAACAAATATACTTACAAACTAATTCCAACAATTAAACCAAATTAAAGCTAAGTGCCAACAACACTAGACGGACACAAATCAATCTAACAAGAAAATCAATTTTGTTATCAATAGGATCTACTAGTGCTGGTACTTATGCTTAACAAACAGATTATCACCAAATTAAGTTGTGTGTCAATATTAGATGGATATAAATCGATCTTGCAATTATCAATAGGATCAACTAGTGTTGGTACTTGTGCTAAACAAACTCATATCACCAAATTAAAGCTAAGTTTCAACACTAGGTGGACACAAATTAATCGTGCAAGAAAATCAATTTTATCATCAATAGGATCAACTTGTGTTTACACTTATGTTACACAAACACATTATCACCAAATTAAGGCTAAATGTCAACACTGGGTGGACACAAATCGATCTTGCAAGAAAATCAATTTTGTCATCAATAGGATCAACTACTGTTGGTACTTATGCTTAACAAACACATTATTACCAAATTAAAGCTAAGTGTCAACACTATGTGGACACAAATCGATCTTGCAAGAAAATCAATTTTGTCATTAATAGGATCAACCAGTGTTGGTACTTATACTAAACAAACTCATTATCACTAAAGCACATTATAAAAAATCAAACAAAACTCTAAGCAAAATACGACTGTATTGAATCAAAAAGATAGTCTAGAATACAATAATTACGATTTTCTAAGAAATAATACCTCGACTTTTTTTAATTAAGGCAAGAGATGGAGTGGCACCAATGGGCTCGACGATATTGGATATTGGAACCTTTAATTAAATTGTATCTCTGCACTTACAACTTGTTCACTACACATGAAATTGAAGCAAGTATAATGTTAAAATTTTTAGTCCAAAACTGAATCTTAAGGAGCCAAAAGCAGCAATAAAATGTGAAATTTTGCATAAAGATTCAAGAATGACAGACAAAAAGAAGACAGTCCATATAGAGAGCAAGATGTGCATCATAAATAAAGTAAACTGTTGGAAACTTTTGACTGTTACAAAAAACCCAATACCTAACTCCATGGCAAAAGGACAAATATTGTATTTATTTATTAGCAAACATATAATAAATGTCAACCTTTGGTATCTCCTTCAATAAATAATCTTCTACCTTAAACATCCTTTTGTAGTCCATAATTGACCATCTTAATTTCTTTTATAGTAGGATATACTAATATTTTAAATTTGAATCCTCAATTTTTATTTTTATTTTTATTTTTATGAAGTAAGTAGATTCATTTAACGGCATCAAGAAGATGCAAGCTTTACAAGGATAGATCAATTAAGCTTCCAAAAAAAGGATTTAAAGCCTCTTTCTAAACTATAGAGCTAACAAAATCCAAGAAGAGTTCTAAATTATTTAGTGTGGTCAATTTGGACCAACAAAAAGGCTAACTAGACATCTGCCTCGCAAAAGATTTCTAGAAGTTGAAATTCTATCAAAACATCTTTTGTTCCTCTCTGTTCATAAACACCAAAAGACTGCATCAGGGATCATCATCGACATACTCTTGATGGCTTTGTCAACTTCCCGTGAACCAACTTTCAAGAGCATCGACTCCTCAATTTTTTTTTAAAAAAAATACGGCATCACATGTTTGTCAATGCACTGTCAACAAAAAATTGTAGTCCTTTTTAAGATAAAAGACTTTTTCATTTTTTATAAAGGATATTTGTCAATATTGTTTGTACTTCGTGTTATATTTTTTCTTTGTTCTCTTTAATTAATTGATAATTAGAAAAAAACGGGGAGAGCTTACTTACCTGTGGGCAAATTACTAAGATTGTTAGGTTACTCAATATTGGAAAATTAGAAAAGTGATTAGTGAATATTGATTTCAATTGGTATAATGATTAAGCGTTCATTAATCCTTGATTAACGGTAGTTATAATTCTCTTGATGAACTTAATTGTGGCTATCACCATTCAATCAATTTATTGGACAAACTTAAAATATGATCGTATTTTTTTTTTATTGGATAAGACTTGTGAGCTAACTTTTGAGGTTGAGCTATACTCAGAATTTACTTATCTTCATCGTATCGAAGTTAGACTCATTCCCTTTCTTAATCTCAGACCTCATGTTATGTTATACATGTTCCAATTAATCATGAGTGCTCATGTTCTTCACTTGCAGTACTCACCAAATGCTTTAACTCATCCCACATCGAAGTTAAGGAATCTTCTTATGTATCGTATAGTCTTAAAGAGGCATTTTCACTGTAGTTTCAAGGAAATGATTGTCTTGTTCTGAAGGTCTTTCAGACCGGTAGGCTTGATCATAATTCATAAACACAATGTAATGTTTAGGGCCTTCCACAGCCAGCCACCCCCAACAACAATGTAATGTTTAGTCGCGAAGGCCTTCCACAACCAGCCACCTCAACAAAAACAAGTATCAATCTGCAGGCCTTCCACAGCCTTTCACAACCAACTAAAACAAGTCTGATAGATCAATCCATCAAAGGGCAAAACAAAAATTGAAAAATAAGGCAAAAAGATGCAACATGTAACTAGAGAAGGCGAATAAAGCAATCAGATAACGAGAGCAACAAATCGATCCCTATTCAACTAACACATTTCTAGAGGTAGCTACCAGAATGCAACAACAAACTTATTTTTACTAGATAAAGCCCCTGGAGTTGATGGATTTCCAATTGAGTTCTTTACTAAAAACTGGGAATTAGTCCACAGAGATGTTATTGCAGCTGTTAAACATTTCTTCCATACTGGACATCTGTATACTGCTATAAATACCACAGCTGTGACTTTGATCCCAAAGGTATCGACTCCTACAAAGGTCAAAGATTACAGGCCTATTGCTTGTTGTACTACTTTGTACAAAATTATATCCAAAGTTCTTACAAGAAGAATAAAACATGTGATCCCTGAATTGGTTGGCAAAGCTTAATCAGCTTTTGTTGAAGGAAGGAGTATAGTGGATAACATCCTGGTTAGTCATGAGATATTCAAAAGCTATACCAGGAAGTGGATATCCCCTAGATGTGTCCTTAAAGTAGATCTGAGAAAGGCTTATGACACTTTGGAGTGGGCATTTTTAGAAAAGTTGTTGAGTGACTTGGGCTTCCCTGCAAAGTTTGTTCACTGGATCATGATATGTGTGTCCACAGTCTCATATTCTTTGCTACTGAATGGGGGTCTTATTGCTCCTTTCCCAGCTCAGAGAGGTATCAGGGGGATCCTATGTCCCCATACCTCTTTGTCTTGGCTATGGAATACCTTGGAAGAGAACTCAGTCAACTGGCACTTAATGCAGATTTTAACTATCATCCTAGGTGTGAAAGAATTAACAATATTCACATATGTTTTGCTGATGATTTGTTGATGTGCTGCAGGGTAGATTTAATATCTATCAGATTGTTGAATGCTGCTTTTAATTGATTCTCTGAGGCATCAGGATTGCAAGCAAATAATGACAAAAGCTCTATATATATTGTTGGAGTATCTGATCATACAAAGCAAGACATTGTAGATTCTTTGGGGTTCAGTTTGGGGACCTTGCCTTTTAGAAACTTAAATAAACTTATTCTTATTCTTCTCTCTTGTTCCTTCAATTTTATTCTTGGGGATTGTCGGGTTCTTATGGGTGCATTAACTAGAAATTGGTTGGAATTGGGTACCTGTTTTCAAACCCATCTTTCGTTGAAAAATCAAACGATTTCCTTTATGTCTTTCTCTACCAGACCCCATTCGGGGTTTTTGTCCAGTACCTCTCTGAGATAGGTGGTCCAAGTAGGTTAAGGATAAGGTATTACTGACCAACAACTTCTTGGGAGTAGGGGCATCAAAGCTTGCCCAACCAAAACGGGAGTAAGGCTTTCTCCACGAGAGAACAGACTGACTACAAAATGATCTTCGTCAAATACCGGACTTTGCCTTTTTTCAGGAATTAGTTGGGTGTGCCTTTAGCCTCTGAAAAATTGGGGGTTAGTGCTTATTTGCCCCTTATTGAGAAGATAACAACAAAAATAACATGCTGGTTTGCTAAACTTTTGTCATATGCTGGAAGGTTACAACTGATTAAAGCTGTATTATTTGGGGTTCAGTCTTATTGGGCTCATATTTTTCTCATCCCTAAGAAAGTCATGAAGCAATAAAGCAACTATGCAGAACCTTCCTATGGACATGTATTGTGTCAATATCAAAGAAAGCACTGGTTTCTTGGACTAATATATGTTTACCAGGGGTTGCAGGTGGGCTAAATGTTATGAATCTTTGTACTTGGAACTCTGCTGCTATCCTAAAGCTTCTATGGGATATCAATAGGAAGAAGGATTGTCTTTGGGTCCAATGGGTGCATAGCTACTATATAAAGCAGGGTGATATTGCTCAAATTCGGATTCCAAAAAGTGCTTCCTGGGTTGTGAGAAAGGTACTGGAATCTAGAAATCAGTTAATAAACAGACTAGGTAGCCATGGGACAATTCAACAATAACTTGGTAAAGCCCAACTTGGGGATAGATTTTCAATCCAAAAGATGTATGTAAATTTAATGCCTATTCATCCCAAAGTAACCTGGAAACATCTTGCATTACATCCAAAGATACATCCTAGATATAAATTCATTCTATGCTTGGCTATACAGAAACGACTAGCAACAGTCGAGAGATTGCAGAAATTTGGAATCACTGTCCCCCCTAATTGTGTCTTCTGTAGTCAACACTTAGAAAC